CACAGAGATCTGCCTGCCTCTGCCTCCCGAGTGCTGGGATGAAAGGTGTCACCTCTGCTTAGGCTTGTGCTTTATTTTTTGTATTAATAAGAAGCTTGGTATGATTATACACTCCTATAGTCACAGTATTCTGGGAGCTGAGGCAGAAGATTAGGGTTAGGCTAGATTGGGCTGCATATAACAAGATCCTTCCTCAAATAAGTAAAAAGAACAAAATAGTCCTTGGCTTTTCTGCCCTGGAGAGACTGGAGAACAGTGTCAGCTTCAGTGACTCAGTTTTGCTAAGTGTTCCTGCACTTTTATTTCTTCTTCATCTAGAAGGCATTGATTGTACTTTAGATTTTGATTCTCTTGAAAATAACTGATGATGAGAGCCTCTAGAAATGTTTTTCTATTTTTCATTCGTAGTGTTCATGTAAACTTTTCTTTTTCCCTAACTGGCAGTTGCAGTCGTGCAGAATGGCGGACCTCAGTCTTGTAGATGCATTGACAGATCCACCTCCAGAGATTGAGGGAGAGATAAAGCGAGACTTCATTGCCACACTGGAGGCTGAGCCCTATGATGACACTGTGGGAGAAACTGTGGAGAAGACTGAGTATATTCCTCTCATGGATGGTGATGAGAAAATTGGGAACCCAGAGTCCAAAAAGAAACCATGCTCAGACACTAGCCAGGCTGACGGTAAGTGTTTAAGCTAAAAGGCGTGCATAGGTTCAGAATGCAGATTGGAGGTATAACTTGTCGCTTGAAGGCTGTCTTACAAATCAAGAAGTTTACATTGTCCTTTGTCAAATCAGTGTTGGTGAAGCTAGAGATGACTTTTGTAATGTTTCATCTACTGTCTCACCTGTTTTCTAATTTCTTCTATTAACATTCTTGTTGTTAATTTTATTTAAGCATACTTTTGTAAAGTTAAATACATTAAATTTATATTTAAATTTATATTCCAACTTATATTGGAATCAGGTTGTTGTCTGGAGTAAGACACAGTTAAAGCCTTTAAGAAAGGTTTACAGTTCTGTGAGGCAGTGTTGGCACACGCCTTTAATCCCAGCACTCCAGAGGCAGAGTGCATCTCTGTGAGTTCGAGGCCAGCCTGATCAACAGAGAGAGTTCCAGGACAGCCAAGGCTACACAGAGTAACAAAACAAGAACAAACAAACAAACAACAAAAAAAAAAGAGTAGAGGTCTGAGGTAGAAATATTGAAAGTTTGAGGT